TAAAATCATCATCCAAAAGTGGAATACAGAGATGATCCCTGGCAAGCCTTACACACACACACTTTAAGAATCAGTAAGGTAAGAGCCCGAGATATTTCAGTCTAGAAGTCTATTACCATCGTCAGCAGGCCAAACTAAAATTGTATTAATTAGCAATCTTAAAGCATTACGAGTCAAAACAGAATTTAGCCAAACAGTGGGAATGAGTCCATACTCCTTCCCTTTGTGTGAAATTACCTTTCCTGTGCACTCTGGCAAGACTAGTTTCCTGGGCTTCAGGTTTTTGCCACATAGATTAGAATGAATTATCAGCTACCTCTTTTGGCTCTTTTGGAGTTCATTTACATCCCTCTTGTAAGGTGCTACATACACTGAACAGAAATTCCTTGCAGCAACGTGATGCAAACACTATTGTCAAGATCATGGTATTCTGAGTTGGAAAAAAATAGTGAATCTTTACCTCACTCTTTCAGGGGCTTAACACAAGTTTGTGTAGATGACATAGGAACTCTAAGTGATTCCTATTAAGTATGTAGAACTATATGCTACCTTGCGTCTACATGAAGTTTCAAGATACCGTTATATGAATGAAAACAAGGAAACACCTAAGGCCAACACGCTTGTTAGCAATACAGTACAAGGATGGTGATGAGCTAAAAGCAGGTAATGAAATAGTTTTTAATAAGATAGTAGATCAATGACTGAGATGTGCAGAAACTAGTGAAATGCACCAGTATTTCTCAAGGCCTTGTTATTAACAGTTATTATTCAGCTTTGTCTGAATTATAAGGTTCCAAAAATATTAGAAACACATACAAAAATGCATAATTTTTTACTGTCCAATACCTTCTGTCTCAATTGTCTCACCTGTATTTTCTCGCACTTCTCAACTTGGCATAAACATATACCTGAAACATGCTAGTGTCTTAATTTTAATGTTTTCATGCATATAATCCATGCGTCATTTAAAGAACATGCTTATGATATAAAACTGTGTGGGTAAAAAGAGGGCAAGTAGCGAAGTCTCATCTCCCCTTAGTAATATCCTTGTTCCTGACCCTATTTTTCCAAAAGCTTTGATCGCCCTCTCTTTCAGTGTAGAGTAAGACTAATCTGTGATTTTTTTTCAAGTGCTGGCATGTAGGTTATGTATGGTGTGCATGAAAATACGCAAGCTGTGTGACGTGAAGGGTGCCATATTGTAGTTGCAGTGACAAGTTTGCGTAAGCCTGGTAGAGCTTCCCATGACAAATGCCATGATGACTTCTGAAATAGTTATTTGTATTGATTCCACTTTTTTGCGTTCTATGTTGGTCTTACGGCTTATGGCTCCCATAGGTATTTGTACAATGCTTGTCTTGCAAGTACTAAGAAAAATTAAGGAACAAAAACTCTGCACCTGTGGAAACAAATCTTTACACATTACAAGTCATGTAAAAGCTTTTAGAGGGATTGCCATATTCTCAGGAAATATGTTAACAGGAAAAGGACTTCTCTCTCCTAACTTCACAAGTACTGCACAAAAAGCAGTGGGAGTTCTGTGATCATGTGGCACATATATAACATGAAAGGATAACAAATCCAAGGTTTCCTGTATGGCCTTCACTTGTTCATGTAGTAGGCAGTACCAAGGGATTAGTTTGAAAACACAAAGCTATAAGGTACCAGAAACAAATGCCAAATGGACATAGTTTTATGACCAAAGTAGAATCCAGATATACTCATAACTAAATGTGTTAAGCATTTGTTTCTTTCACAACAAACACTTAAGCAGAATGTTAAGTAGGTTAAAAAAAAATCAGGAAATAAAACCAAATTAAAAGCTGTGCTTATTTCCATTGCCAAGGATTCAATATCTGCTTTTAGTGCTACTACAAGTATGCTCCACTGCTGAGACTCATGGAAGCCACTCAAGGGGGACTAGGGATAACTCCCACAGAATATCTCTTCTTAGTTTCTTCACTGATAGAAGACACATCAGGGTGCTATCAAAACGCTTACCACTCCTACTTCAGTGCATGGAGAAATAAAGAGAACACCCCCCCTCCCCACCCAAGGCGACAGATAGGCCACATTCAGTTCCCCTCTACTCAAACAAACTCTAAGAGAATAGGAATAACTGAATGGGTCATTAGATTTTACTGCATCTAAATAAACTATCTTCATTACTGGCAGAGGGAATTTGAAGTGCCCACTCCCAAACAGCCGGGGTATTAGTACTCTGTGCCAGAGGCATCTACGCTTCCACAGGAGGAAGATAAGGCATGTACACAGGAACTCTATAGCTCGTATACTGCCCTGCAAAGACTGTGGTCACCTTCTGCCAGGGGCTCAAGATCTGATGTTCATAACCTATTAGAATCTGGAGTTTTGGTTCAAGCCCCAAGTCTTACTGCTCCCCAGATGAAAAGATGAGAAAACAGCTCTTTCCTCATCTCTAAAAACACTTCTCTATTTGGAACATTGCCTCTGTTTAGGTCACTTGAGAGGACAATCATCATTGCTGTTTTCTGATTTATGTGAAGCTCTGTATTATACCAACTGTGAAAGGGCAATCAATAAGTAATTAAAACAAAACTAATAGATGGGACATAGCTGAGAGTACAAAGTGCAGCTACAATCTAATTATAATAATTTGATCCAAAAAAAAGTATCCCTCTGGGCAGCAGAGTTTATTGGTAGAGATGCAGACTTGTGGGGCATAGCTGCCAACAAACATGTTGGACACATGCTGAGCATCCTCACACCTCCCAAAAGCTGAACACTGTTATATCTGCCCTCTGGATAGAGGGACAAAACTGGCTCTGCTCATTCCTTCAACATCCCTCATGTTCTGCTGCACATGGGCTCTCACTGAAGAGGGCTTTATATTACCTCAAACGTAACTCAAAGAGCAACAGTAAGATGACAAGGTCCATCTATTCACATCCAATCTGCAGAATCAAATATTCAGACCTCTCACAAAGCTACATGGCACAACATGAAGATGCACTATATTCTTAAACACAAAATTTGTTTGAAAATTTAGATCTGCTTTAAGCAGGTGCTCAGGCTTTAACAGGTTCATGAGGCCAGAGGGAGATGCATGACCAGGGCAGATGTCAAAATTCACATGACCTGTTTGAGCAGGCAGATGAGTTTACCTCATTGTAAAGAAAAAGGAGCACCTCAGATGATCTGAGACTGCAGTTGACTAGTTTTGGGGAAGAATCCAGTATGAGAGAGTTTGGGGTTTTCCCCTTTGCTGAGGCAAGACAGAGGGCCTAAATGTTTTTTCCATCCTCTAATTAACGGTCTACCACATGAACTTGATGTATCATGAATCTGCCAGAAGCTATTAATCATTATTGGTAACTACACACCCAATTTTGTTTTCAGAGCAAATTTTCACTATATTTAACTTACCTGTCCCTAAGAAAATTATAATGTTTTAGAGGATTGCACAAGAGTTACAGCATTAACTTGATTAAACACCTGGTAGAGGACTGTGCCCACTGTGGAACTGAATACTAAGTGCAAATAAATTATATTACTCATCCACCCCTCGGCAGAATATTGTAGTTTTGAGATTTTAAATATACCTATCACAATCAGGGAAAGATTAGTAATTTCTTGGACAGAAAGTATTATTTTCATTTACTTGAAAAGGGACTCTACGTACATATAAAGGGAAACTTTCAGCTCAGTACTGAAACAGAGGACAATTGTTTCTTCCAGCTTGATCTTTGCATAGGTTATTACAGGATATGGAAGCTAATTAGCCTTAGGCACATTTATGAACTTCTTTCCTAGATTCAGATTATAGGCATGATGTTTCTGAAGCATGCATTGTTGCCTTGGTGAATCATACAAATGATAGGAAAAAATCCTTGCTGATTCCTATGTAACAAAAATACAAATTAAAAAAATCTCCCCTCATGAAAGACTTGTCAAAAGACTGGAAAAAGCCAGTAAGACAGATCACAGTACTGCCATCACCTATATCCGAAGAGAATAGTTTTGAGGCACTCTGACCTTCTCAGGTTTGCTGTCTCAGATATTTTCTGCCTCTGCTGGAGAACAGCAGACTTCAGTGAGAT